CGGTGTGATTCGGGAGCGGGCACGCACGCAGTATCACGCAGTCGTTGGAACGGAGCCCAAGTTGGCCGCGCGCAGTCGACGCAGGAGCAGCACGCGCAACGGGGCCCCGGTGGGATGAGGACTGCGAGGAGGTGCCTGGAAGAATGCACGAGCATGTGCCGTGCGAAGACTGAGCGATGCACTAAGTGTAATGGACGAATGCACAAGCAGGCGATGCATTAAGTCGTAGTGCAAGTCCCCCCCCCCTCCCGGTTGTGGGTGAGCGGTTTTACTAGATCTTTCCGCACCCGGCCTTGCGGGCCTATGGTGCCGTGCTATGTTTTTGGGCTTCTAGGTTTGTACACATCGGGCCCGCGACTGCGGTGCCAAGAGTGGTTTCGGGTCCGAACAAAACATTGTCAAAAACGTGTCGAAAAAGTCAGCACCCACGGCGCTGGTGCTTGCCTCTTGGAAGTGCTGACACATGTCTTTGTTTTTACGCACCTTATTGAAATCGCGTCCCAGTGGTTTGACTCTATGCCCGTTTACTATGCCACCCTCAATGGGACCAGGCAGGAACTTCCGCATCTGCTAGGGCAAGCACGTCCTCCAGACGTGGCTTTCCCGGGACGCCACCTCGGCCCCAACCGTGATGCTGGCGGGCATGCGGCGACTGGGGCATCGCAGGCCGAGGCTGGGTTGGCAACCGCCTGCTGCACTGCGACAGACAGCATGCCCACCAGCGACACGTCTCGCCTGAAGCCGCAGCGGCCCGTAAGGCCTAGGGCCGGCGGCACTCTGCAGGACAGCAGTCGAACCAGGTGTCGCAACAAACCCTGTGCGTCGCCGTTTGAAGGCCCTCCGACACCTCATTGCCCTTGCGATGTGGACCGCACCAGCGCCCGGGCATCCGGTGGCCTAGCCGGCACCATCATACTGTCGCGAAATGTTGGTTGCGAGGGCGTGTTGCCCAACCCTTCCCTCGGCAGCAGTGCGCTGGCCCGGGGCGTCGTCACCGCCACGCTCCAGTGCATAATTTGTACAACCATCCGCCTCTCAGTCCCAGCGCTGCGGGAGCTCAGGTTAGAAGAATGCTCTGTGCACCAGGGCCGCAGCACGCCACGCAACATCAAAAGGTCTGCATCTGCTAGAAGAGCACAGTAGGCACGTCCTGACGCAAGCGAAGGGAGCATGAACTTGAACGTCGGCACCATATCGGAACCCTGCTTGATATTCATCCAACCGCGGGTCACTGCGAGGGCGAACCCGATTCAAAATCAACCGCTCAGAAAAGGATAGAAAGGGCTTCATGTGGGACGTTGTCACAACATGTCACAACCAGGTGCTTTGCCAAAGTTACACTGGTGGAGTGCAGCCTGCAGTTCTTCCATTGCAAAGGGTTGTCCACTCAAGTCGGGCAGGTGCTACAAGTTATAAGAATTACGGCCCGTGCGAATGCGTTGAACGCGGCGGCCTGTGCGAGCGAATCGCGCCAGACAGAAGCTATCCGCGTCCAACGCCGCTGCATGTTGGAAATCATGCTGCCGTTGTTGCGTGTACTGCTGTTGCTGATCAGCATCGGCGAAAGTGTTGGCAGTAATGCTGGGTGACGTTATGACGAAACCGGCGGCCCCCGAACACCACTGGTCCTGAAACAGCGCTGGTGTCGAACCAAGTACTTGGACTTCATAAGATATTGCTCTTCCAAGATGAAGACATATACGCAAAGACAAACGATACAGCACGCTGATACACCATGAGAGTGAAGATTACGTAAACACCATCCATACTACATGCTGAATTTATATCTGATGTGTAATGTAAACCCAAGAAGATTCCTGCAATTAAAAATGCTAACAGAAAAACAATCTTCCAAAAAGACATTATGATCAAAGGACAAGGATATGATCCTAAACGAGATTCATTAGTAATACAAAATATACGGCGACACTAGTAACTTATGAATATTATGTTTGCGCGTGAAACCAATGCAACCGCAAACGACCACAAATAAAGCGGGAAAAGTGAAAAACCTCGTTTTCCGTGAGGCTCCACGGAAAAAAGGTCTTGCGCCCGTATTTTGTAAGCAGCCACACCTGGCGGCCGTAAAAAAGCGTAAAATGGCCTTAAAAGGCGTAAAATACCCTGTAAAATGACCGTATCTTTTGTGAGCATTTGCAGGTGCGACCGGATTTTGCTGCTGCCCCAAGAAAACCTAGTAACTTTGGCACGACCGGAAATAAAGCAGGAGGGTATAGATACTGTAAACATGTGCCCATTTATTTTTTTACTCTGGCAGGGGTGCAGTGAGCACAATCATAATATATAATGAGCGGCAAATGAAGCGCTTAACGCCCGCGCGAAAGATGCCCAACAGAATGAACAGTAGATTCACGCTTTGCCCTTTCGTTTTGGGCATTTATCTTTTTGTCGCGGGTCTGCGCGCGCGAGGCACGGCCTCCTGCGCGATGCGGAGTCACGCGAGCTTCGTGTCTGTTTCCAATGGGGCGCGCAGCCAGCATGCATCCCGCTTCGCGCACTGACAGGAGCGTTTGCTGGCGTGTGGCGTCGTCGAACGTGGATGCCCACGCCGGAGCCAACACCCGGGAAACGAGCCGACGAATTACATCCCCGTGGTGATGCCCTGCACACCTCCATCTGGCCGAGCAACGTGCCGAGCCCTTAGCCAAAGGCCTTCTCTGCGGGCGGGCCCAACTCAGTTCTCTGCATGGTGGACTGAGGCTGCGCGGGGGCCTGCTTTGCATCCCGGGCCGATGGCATGCCCCCAACTTGTCACATCAGCCACACGCCACCTCCAGCCTGCTGACGCCTCACCGTCGCTGTCAGCTCTGAGGAAAGGGGCCCCCGCTGTTTCTGGCGCTGGTTTCCAGGCCCCGGTGCGGGATGGACTTGCACATGATGCCCCTCCCCCCGCAGCAGGCCAACCCGACGATCAGCCTGCAAACTTCACTCGGGGCTGGCAGCGCAGTGCTTGCGGGTTTCCTTTCGCAAGCGCTGCTTGATTCCCAGTCCGGTCCTTTCGCACCCAAGGTCTTCACGGCTTTGCCCACTTCCGCCGAGCTGAGGCCGGAACCGCCTGTAGCTGACCCTCGTCCTTGCCCGGTGCCCGCGCCCGCGCCGCTTGGATGCTCTCGGCCTCTTGCCCACGCTCGGGTCTGTTGCGCTCGTGAGCTGTCCCCTTAAACGAGCCGGCAATCGCGTCTGTCGTGAGGCCGGGACCACGACTGCCTGCCGTGCGCATCGCTCGCAAGGCCAAAGAAGCGCAGTTCCGAACTGTGCCGGCTCCTTGTGCTCGCGAATCCATCAAAAACACAAGAGCTAGCGCCCATGTCTGGCAGGACGTCCGTCAAAGGCCGGAATAGAGCTCGTTGGCATCCTTCAACTCTGACATCGAAGCAAGCGTTTCTTACCGAGATGAAACCTACGATTGAACTCCGCCAGCGTGGTGCTTGGGCCGTTGTCAAGTATGCCAACTCTGCTGTGTGCGGTGGAACAAACTCCTTTAGCGGCTGAGCGACCTGCGCGAGAACTGTTTGCTACGTGCGTGTCTGTTGCGCCTGCGTCGCTTGGCGTGGGCATGTACAAAGGGCGGTGGACTGGGCCGCTCGAGCGCATTCGAGTGCCGAGCAGAAGAGGGCACTGCGTGGCTATGGACGCTATAAGGCCATTGAGGGCACGGGAGGCTGTGACCTGGTCAGCGGCAATTCGGGCCGTTTCGCATCGTCGGCAGACATGGGGAACTCGAGTGAAATGCTGGCACTCGCAATTTTCAGCGGTCAGTGATGGTTCGTGTATGTGTTTTCTTTCGCTCTACAATTCTCGGCATGCGAACTTTTTGTGGCTCGTCCTGAGTCCTGATCGAGGTCAGCGCAATCATCTGCTTCACGTATTGTTGGAAAAACGGTCCGGGCATCGAGCTGCATGGTCAGTACAGGAAGCACAGGACAATGAAAGAACGCATGGATGGATGGATGGATGGATGGATGGATGGATGGATGGAGGATGCCAGTCTTGGTGCGAGCACGAATCGGCCAATGCCAACGCGACGGCCTCATGGACTGTCGTATGGAGAGCACCTCAACGCCGTGCCACTTCTCCCGTTCTCTCGCTAGCTGGACTTGCTTGTTTTCACCTTTGACTTGTTCACTCCAGGCAGTTAGTGTACCCATATACTTTACGAAATAATTATGCAGTACAACCGTTCTCCCGCTAGTGTCCCGCTGCTTGGGCTTTTCAAAGTAAATAACGGCAGAGCATGTCACGAGGGCTGTGACAGGTTTCCCTTTTCGTCCAGCACCACTCTAAGCCGAAACCAACATGCTAGAGCCTCAAAACAACTCTCTACAAGTTTTTGCGGTCACCTGCAACCGCCCCCAAACCTTAAGGCCTAAGCCCTCCGGACGATGCAATGTTCGCCTGGCTACCTATAGAGAAGGTGCGGGCACAGTTACTAGTTCTGAAAACTGTCCTTGAGCAAGATGGGCCGAGATACCTCGTTGCAAGATGTTGCAAAGAGAAGGCCGAGAGGTCATTGATTGTCGATTAAACGTTTAAATCGGTGGATGGTGCAGATATTTCTGATACGGACTTGAAGTACGATCGATAGCTTAGCTGCTAGAATCTGCACGCACGTACTCGATTTTAATGGCATTTAATTCAATGGACGCCAATGGACAACATGTCTTGCATTGTCGGGCGCACTAGAGGAGATTCAACACAACATGAAGTTATCAATTGCGTAATGAGTGCCGTGACAATGCCGTGACATGTCGTACAGTGGCTGCCCGGCACGGCAGCCTCCCTCCCCCAATGATACAGACGACACCCCTTTTTCTGCAGATGGCTTCGGCTCCAGTGTCGAAGCTTAGCCATGCAAAGAAGTGAAGCACTTTCCCTCTCAGGACGAAGTTGCGAATGGTTTCTGGGTGGCAGGCAACGCTCTGGCGCTGGAAAATTATCTCAGACCGCGAATGGAATGGAAGGGCTATGTGGCAGGCTCGTCACTGCTTCCCAGCTCCGTCCTTCCGACATATCTTGGACTATGTCCATGTGCTGTACCGAGGCTGTACCGAGGCTGTACCGAGTGCACTCTGCATGAACTTCATGAACTTCAATCGGTGTCCTCTTTCTTGTCAGATTGTGAAAGCCTTAGTTCACAAGACTGCCCCGGCCAGTCCAAAGAATTGCGCGGTGCATGTGGACGAGAGCCGCACCAGGGAACGAGAGGCAAGACATTGTCAGCCTCTTAGACATTCCTAAACTAAACTTATTAGAGAGTTAGTTTTTGCAGACTGGATTTGTTTGACTCTTTGCCATTATGGAGATCATTTGCTATGAGTGACCTCGCATCGCTCTTTCTCTCTCTCGGCTCCCCGGGCCGTCCATGGGGTGAGCGCGATGGCGGCGGCGATCCGCAGGGGCTTCAGCAGAGCGGCCAAACCCAAAATGCCTCTCCAGGGAGAAAGCAATCGCCTCAACTTTTTGAATTGCCCTTGGGGTTGCAACTAGTTCTTCAACTCAGTTCTAAGACATGCAACACCTTGGTGCCCTCCTGGAGCTGGGGCCTGCAACAGCCCCTGCTGCCCTCCCACCATCAGATAGTGAGAAGATCTCCTGCGCAGATTCCGCAGACAGCAGAGAAAATTTGCGCACATGGTGCCACGTCCTCGATTCGAGGCCATTCGCCGGTGCTGTCATGGTAGGCGTTCAGGAGTATCGGGAGGGTGATAGACCTCGCGCTAGAAATTCTAGCGCCACACAGGGCTGTTCACTGCACTGTAAGCTGCAGACCAGTAGCACAAGGCCACAATTGCTACTGAGAGTCCAAACGCTGGACCAACTTCCTGCACAGGCATTGGCCATGAGAGGCTACTCTTGCTCATATGCCATTTGTGACGCACATCAGAACCCGCCGGACCTGCGTTAGTGCAAACCGCTCTTCATTTGACATCGCCTGCAGGCAGTGCAACCCAGAAAGTAAAACAGAAAGAGCAGACGAAGGCAGAAACGAAAAAGAGGATGGTGAATTGGGCCTCGAGCTTCTCCCAACTGAGTCGTTCCGAAAGTTTTTCTTTGGCGCCTCCGCCTCCACGCATTCAGCTTTCAAAAGTCAAGCAACGTTAAGCGTCTGCTCAGGCTCTGTCGATAGTTGTCGTCGCATCTAATCCGGCCGTTCACGTGCTACACTGCTACTAGCACGCATGGCTATGCCACGCATCACTGCTGAATGCCATCGTCACTAGTCGGCACCCTCGGTGGACTCTTTGGACTCCACTTCCTTCTTCGCCTTCCACAGCTACATTTACAATCATTCCAACACGTGTCCAATAGAAAATCGCACAAACGGCAAAAAAAAACACGAAAAGAGCTAGATTCACAAAACCTGCACATTTGAGTCGGACTTATCCCAGGTCGGAACGCCGTAAACGTCCAAGACCCCTGCCGGCTCTTCTGGCTCGCTCCCGCCTTTGACAGGGCAACGGAGTCCCCAAGAAACTGCTACATCAACCATCTACAACAGCATCTCTTGAAAGGGCAGCACACGGTTCCCCGAATAACCGAGCAAAAACGCTCACTTCTTGAAAGCTTGGCCTTCCGCGGCCACTGCACTGGAAATCTTTGCGAGCTGATCTGCGAGCTGGCTCGCTTCGAGCTGAAGTGATTGCACCTGACATCACAAGTCACGTGCCTCGCTTGCATCAGCTTGCTTCCTTGCGACAATGACCGGCATAGCATCCATGTTGCACCTTCTAGTATGACTCTCAGTGCACGATGAAAGCTCGCAAAGCCCTTTAAACGAGCAGACTGGAACAGGTGCTGTGGCTGCATTTCGCATTGAATGTACTGCTTCTGTGCTGCCTACGGCTCAACCTGGGCACATCAACCTCATCGCATCTTCCACAACACATCCAAATACATCCAAATACGTCAATACGTCCAAACTTGCCTACTGTTCTGCCCACTCGGAGCGCACCTGGGACTGCCAACTCCCACGCTCACTTAGTCTTTCCCGAAAGCCCGTGAACCCGCGAGTTTACGCTGCAGGACTCCAGTCAAGCCGCAGCGGAGCGAGTTAGCGTTGATGTTACATGGCCTATGATCCATGATTGTTCGAAGCACTGCAAATTATTCAGAAGGCAAGCAAGGGAACTCAAGTTCGCGTACGAGTACGTTCGGTGTGAAAGGAAAGCAAACGTGATTTTCGAGGAGGGCATGGTAGTGGTAGTGGCCATTTATGTACGTCGAGATCGGCTCGATACATTGTCCAACTGACTCCTATTGATGTTGTCTTGATGTTGGGCTGTCGTTTCCGTTCGCCTGGCAGAGCTATAGATGTGACCAGGTTGGGGCTTACTGGGGCCAGAACTACTGCTGTCGCTGCTGTGGGATCAGGCTTCATGCAAGCCGCAAGTATCACGTGCTCAAAGGAAATTTGGTGCTAAAACATGAGCAACACAAGCTGACCCCGGTAATTTTTGTTCTGTTGTTCCGTGCGTTTTGGTTCACGCTTCTTTGTAATTCACACACCGGGCACGTTCTTTTGCTTTTGTTCGGCAGGCGATCGGTCACTCACTCACTTGCGGGGTGGGGCCTTCTAACAATATTCAGTACGCTCTCTTGGTACCCTTCGCACAAGAATATAGGAAAATAAAAAGGAAGATCTGTCCGAACCAAAAAGGTCACCTTCCGACATGAAAGCCCCGCATGCTCCTGCCTCGGTTCTCAGGGAATCTGCCTCCGGAAGCTTGAACCTGAGTCAAACTGCACTTTGCACTCATGGTACATCTTGGCATTTGCAGTTGCCGAAGGCCCAAAGGCCCAAAGACGTTGCTTGTGCCGAGTTTTCTCACGCTGTAGCTCGCTTCAATTTCGCAGTAGCCGCGGCCAGCTTCGGCTCCAAATCTGCTAGGGCCTCCAACTCCACGCAGTCCCGCTGACAGCGCCAGGGGTGCTCTGAAATGCTCTGCCTGGCGCAACTCTGCTGCACCTTCAAGGTCTTCAGAAACGTCCTGCCACACGACATAAACCGAAATAACACCACTCACAGGATGTCATGGGCTTAGCGGCTTCCCACCAGCTTGCAAAGCAGCTCAGTGCGCCTCTCGTTCCAGCACAGAAACGCGCTGCGGGGATCCTGTCGTATGATGGACAAACCTAAGGAACCAAGCAAGGATGCAACCAACGCAGTCAGCGGTGAACAAACTACATAATATGCGCATCCAACTTCAACAAAAAAAACAAAACAGCCATGTCTATGTCTGGTTCGGACATGCTTGGGCATCTTCGTTGCCTGCCCCACGGGCGGCACGACCCTCATGAGCCTCAATGATCTCGGGTGACAGAGACAGACAGATAGGCAGACAGACGGACCGACACACACACACACACACACAGAGACACACACACACACACACACACAGACACAACACACACACACACACACAGAGACACACACACACACACACGACACACGACACACGACACACACACACACACACAGACAGAGACACAGACTCACTGATAGATAAGGCAACTGCAGAAAACGCCAGGGGGGGGGGGGGGGGCTTAGGGTTGTTGCATCACAAGTTCAAGAATGCTTCACTCATGCACCAACAGCTTGATGTCATCTTCGTGTAGATTGTGGGGTGTATTGTGTGAATCGCTAAGACTGAATGCTCATACCGATCAGGCCGCTTCAATCATGCAATGTCCAGTGCCGCAGGGGGCCCACTGGCTAATCCGATTGCAGGTACAGATGAGTGATCAGCTCATCCTTCCCACTCTATGGCATAGCTTCGTTGCATGGAGTAGCCATAGAGTGCTCCATGCCCCTGCTGCATCGCTAAAGCAAAATCCAACAAGCTGAGGGTGACCCCATTCACCTATGGACTAAGGTGTTCCACACACACACACACAGACACACACACGACAAACACACACACACACACAGAGACACACACACACACACACAGAGACACAGACACACACACACACACACACACAGACACACAGACACACACACAGAGACACACACAGAGACACACACAGAGACACACACAGACAGAGACACACAGACACAGACACAGACACAGACACAGACACAGACACAGACACAGACACAGACACAGACACACACACACACACACACACACACACACACACAAACAACCGCATCAGACTCCTGCGGATCGCTGTGATCGCCGGATGCGGGATTCGGTGGACAACCGATGCCTCAACAAGAAGCAGGCAGCCATGCAGCGGCTTCCAGCGGTGGCTTCGGCGATCGCATGATGTGGATCTAGGTTCGATATCTGATACGCAACATAACTTGTGGGGGACGGCGGGAACGAAAGCTAGTGCAATGCTCGAGAAGCCACAGGAGAACAGCATTGACCGAACAGGCAAGGAGACACAGCCGGTCTATTCCTCGCCCATCACCCGTATCCCGACCCACATCGTCGGCGAACATCTCCCAGAAAACCCTGGAGTGCCCAGCAGTCGAAGTGCAACACAGTCTACTCCCAAAAAAATCCGTCGAGTGCCAACCCCGGACAATCCCTGGACCCATGCAAAGTATCCCCACAGAATCCTGGAGTGCCCAGCCCCGAATGCTGCTACGGAAAACATCACTTTTCCCGGAAAGCCACTTTTCTCGAAAAGCCACTTCTCTCGAAAAGCCACTTTTTGCAAAATGTAACTTTTCTCGCGGCGTTGCAGGCGCCGCGTCCCTGCAAAGCCACTTCTCTCGAAAAGCCACTTTTCTCGAAAAGCCACTTTTTGCGAAAAGTAACTTTTCTCGCGGCGTTGCACGCACCGCGTCCCTGAAAAGCCACTTTTCTCGAAAAAACACTCTTCTCGAAAAGCCACTTTTCTCGAAAAGCCACTTTTCTCGTGACTTTTCTCGTGACGTTGGAGCGCGCATTGTTTTCGAAAAGCAACTGTTCTTGAAAAGTCACCCCTGCAGCACAGCCACCTTTTTCGCTTTCTTTTTGCTAAGCAGTGATCTTTCTTGTGGCGCAGCGCGTGCAGCGTCTTTGAAAGGCACTCGTGCTGACATTGCATTTATTTCATGACAAGACAGGTTTCGCGTAAGTTGCTCTTTGTCACGCCGCTATGCTCTTCAAAGAACAGGGCTTTTTGAAAAGCTACCTTTCTGCAAAGGTTACCTTTTGTGAAAAGCCATGACCTTTTCTTTGCGAATACATTTTTCTTATGGCGTTGTGTCAGTAAGTTGCTGGGGAAGGCAGTGTCATTGGAAGCTGGAAAAGGTAGTGTGTCCGTTGCGTGTGGATTTGGTTTGTGCAGCTACTTCTCTCGCTGTCGTGGACTGCTGCGCGATAGCCATACGCAGCACTTCCTTGTGGGGCTCTGGGATTTGGGTTTAGGAGGTGGCTTACTAGGGTTCAGGGTTTGGGTTTGAAGTTTAAAGGGATTGGGGCTTCTGCAAGCATAGCATATCTTTGACTGGGGTGTGGAGATATAGAACGTTCTGGACAGGCAAGGTGTGCTGCAGGTTCACCCTTCGTACTTCTTTCACGTGCTCACTTACCATGTGGGAGGTTAGATCTGGAACCTTCTGAAATCTCAACTCTAAGAACCCTTGAAGGCAGAGTTGCAAGATAAACTCTTGAACCCCTAGGTCCTGAGCCAAACCCTAAACCCACTAGATCCCTCAAATGCTCGCGGCAACACACAAGATGTTCTGTTGGTTGCTTTAGTGGTTGGCACCGTGTTTCTCAGTGCAGATGTGTTGCACGTTCTCGAGAAGCTACTTTTTCCTGAAAAGCAATTTTTCCCGAGCAGCATCCCTTTCTCGAAAAGCCACTCTTCGAGAAAAAACACTTGCATCGAAAAGCCGTGTTGGGTTTTTTGTTAAAATGACTTTCTCACGGCGTTGGGGCGCGAAGCGTTTTCAACAACGTAAGTCTCTGGAAAAGCTATTTTCTGAACAAAAGCGTTTCCTGTGACTTTTCTCGCGACGTTGGCATGCGCGCAGCATCTGTGCTCGAAAAGCCACTTTTCTCGAAAAGCCACTTCTTATCGAAAAGCCACTTTTATCGAAAAGCCACTTTTTGCAAAATGTAACTTTTCTCGCGGGCGTTGCACCCGCGGCATCTGCGAAAAGCCACTTTTCCCGAAAAGCGAGTTTTCTCGAAAAGCAACTTTTTGCGAAAAGTGACTTTTCTCGCGACGTTAGGGACTGTTCCTTTCAGCGACGTTGGAGCGCGCAGCGTCCGCGAAAAGCCGCCTTTCCAGAAAAGGAACTTTTCTCGAAAAGCCACTTTTTGCGAAAAGTGACTTTTCTCGCGATGTTGGAGCGCGCAGCGTCCGCGAGAAGCCGCTTTTCCAGAAAAGGAACTTTTCTCGAAAAGCCACTTTTCTCGAAAAGCCACTTTTTGCGAAAAGCAACTTTTCTGGTCGATTTTCCCGCTAACCTGGAAGACGCACCGTGTGACAGCTCAGAATGCTTTTTCCAGAGAAATTCTGGAGTGCCCAACCCCAGAATCCCCTTAAGAGCATCCAACAAAACCTTGCAGTGCCCAACCCCAAAACATCACCAGAAAATCTCTGCAGCGCCCAGCCCCAGAGAATCCCTGCATTACCAAACCCCAGATCCCCAAAAATCCCTAGGTTGCCCCAGAGAAGCGCCTTGGAGTATCCGCAGAGTTCGACATTTAGCTCACCCATTAGCTTCGACGCTGCTCTTGGAGAGGTATTAGAAGGCAGATTTTGATCCTGAGCCAGAGTGGCGCTTTGCCAAAGCGCCCCGAAGCTCTATGAAGGCAGACAAGGCGCCTTGAGGACCTCAAACACGTAGGGGTTGGCCATGGTTGGCCAAGTGTTGGCCACCGAGTCCCGGCGGGGGGCGGCCCCAATTTGCAACACGCCCTAGGTGGACCGTCTCCCCACACCCCTGTTGCTCAACTAAGTCAAATCGTCCGGGTGTCGTAAGAAATGTTCGTGAACGCGCCTCAAGATTAATTGCCGGGCCTCGTTGTCCATTTTACAACCATACTGGTATAAACTCTTTAAATCAACCAGCTTCGATTGTTCGGGAAGACGGGGGCAAACCAGGCACAACACTGTTTCCCGAATTCATTTGTTTCTTCCAACTCTTGGTTTCGAAGGCCTTGGTCCTCCTGCCTCCTGCTAGAACCTCCCACCTTCAATCCTGCAGGCTGTGCCCAGCATCCAGCAAGGCCAGGGCGGAGCACGAAGCGTGCACAACTGTCTCTTTCTGCTTGGGGACAGCACTCTGCGCCACCGGTGCCGATGAAGGCACGTGCAGTCCGTGCAGTATGTTCATCTGGAGGACTGGAGAAGCCGAGTAGAAGGAACCTCATGCTTCCCTAATCGTTGTCTGATGCTGCGTGATGCGGCGCTAAATGGCTAGGTAGTGGGCACTGAGGAAACCGTTATCAGCCAACTGCGTCGCCGCCTCCACCCATGCTTCGTTTCCTGCAGAATGCAAGCTGAGTACTCTGACGGGTGACGAATCAACGAATCAATCACAAACTTGACAGGCTTTTGTTCCGAGGGTCCATGCCACCAGCAGCCATTGCGGCAGTCGCAAAGTGTCGCAAAGTGTCGCAACCTAATTGTTAAAGACGGTCCTGTTAAACCTGTTGAAGACAGTCCTGTAAAAGACAGTCCAGCAGCAATTTGCATCAGCTGCGCACTGCTTCAGCTTTAAGGTCTTGCTGTCAGCATGATACAGAATTTCTGTAAAGCTGTAACAGTGCTGTAACATTGAAGAACATCACTTCACGTTGCATAGGTACGAGTGCATGCCACATGCATGCCACATGCATGCATACCCCGGCATGTGCTTGTTTGCCAAACGTGCCTTGTGACACGTATCTCTGAATGACTTGCCATGCAGAGCAAAGCAATTTGCAAGCTCGCCCTTGCCCTCTTGCTTGTCCATGTTCCGGCGAGATCCACCGGAGATGTTCCGATGGCATTCCTATGGTGCTCCTTCCGCTGCTTCCGCTGCTTCCGCTTGACGAACGTCAGCGGCCTGCAAGGTTCCTCCGTGGAGGATCCTCCGCGGAGGCCGAGATCGGATCCGGACGCTGGCGGTTTCTCCAGGCATCCTCGGATTCTATGCCGCAGACTCCGCAAAGACTGTGCTGCTGCACAGTCCTCCTGTGAACAACTCCCAGCCCTAATAAATTGAAGTAACATCCTGGGGTGGAAACACGTGGAAACATGTGGAAACACTTTCAACATCCAACCATCGCTGTTTCCAGAGGCAGCCAGTGCTTGTCTGCCGAATAAGTCGGTTTCGTTCGCAGCTCCTCACTCAATTCGCGGACGGACTCGCCCACATTCACTGCACAACACCCTCTTCAATCCAACTTACGAAGCTGACTTTGGGTCGCGAACGGGCGTGTGTCTGATGTGTTCTGGACATAGAAGAAGCTGCAACGGAACTCTCTACGTGGACTGCACTCCGCAAAGCGGATTTCACAGCATCTCAACGCGCAGGCACAAGTCAGCAGACTCGACGTCAAAGCATGTCAAAGCTGTGATCCGAACACCCACATGTATGCTTGTGACAAATTACAAGCCCCATCTGTTGAAGCTTCAGAGTCTGAGTCTGCCTGCGTGCTATGCGCGAGACAGGGTGTAAACCACCCCTCGTGCAAGAACGAAGCCAATGCGGCTCTCGGTGGGCGGAGCTTTTCCTGTCAGCGACGAACGTGGCCTACAGCTATGTCGTTACGGCACATTGCGGGACAACGTCTACATGTGCAAGACGAGCCTCACCCACTTGAATAAGCGCGGTGTAGCGTCTTCTGCGCTTGAACCATATCCTGCTTCGATGCGCATCAATGGAAATGGCTGATGCCACGCAGAACGCAGCATGTGCTGAGGTCCTGGAAGAATTGCCTTCTCAATCAAGAATGAGGCACTCTTCCTGACCAGTCACCTGCATGTTGTGTACTTGTTGTGTAGCTGTTGGAGGCCTCTTGATGCGCTCCAATACTGCCTGCATGAACCGCTAGCTTTTTTACCTAGAGCACGCGTCTGAGCTGCGCAAAGAGTTGGCCACGCTTGCTTGTCTTCCGATGTCTTCCGAATGCTGCCAGCATGATTTGTGGGAGATCTGGTAAGGGGATGCTAGTTCGACACTCGCCTCTGGAGGCAACTCCTTTCGGATTGCCTGCTTATCGCAGATCTCCTGCGCGGGGCTAGATGCAGTGAGTCGAGGACATTGACTTCATGTCTTCTAGGCTGACGATGGCCCGCCTGCAAGTAATTCTTGCTGGCAGCAGGTGCAGGTGCTGCATCTGAAGACAACACGGGTGCCTTGCATTGCAACTGACGTCAACAGTCAGAAGGGTGTGCTCAGGAGATTTTAGGAGGGGCAACACCACAAGCAATGCGACATGGGCCTTACAATCCTTGCACGTCCTTTTAGTTGTTCGGGATGTTGAGTGGATGTGTTGCTAGGTTGTTGCATCTTGCCTGAGTTCCCTCCTTCCCACTGGCTGGGGCCGTACTTGAGGCCATCATGCTGGATGCAACTTTGAGGTGAACCCAGGCTGCCAAGCAAATGCTTTATGACCAGCCGTACTGGTGAGACCTGCCGCTTCGCAGCATTTTTTGTCTAACCAAATGATCAAGCTTGCCCAGGATTTCAGTTTCAAGATTTGTTCGTGTCGCGCGGTCGCCCCGCCAGTTTTGCTACCATTACCTTTCACAAACAATTGGCCTGAACATTTTTTGCTAACATCGGAGCTTGAGGTGACAGTATGCTTGCCGAAACCTGCAGTGGTATCCCCATGGTCTGCGGCCTCTTGTATCCCCCTCGGAGGCATCACCTTTTGTTTGGATCCTGCCGATGGAAATATCGCAAACCTGGACAATTTCCGTCTCCAAGGCTCACGCGATGTCTGAAACAAAGCTTCAGCACAAACGAAATGTTATATGCTTAATGACACTCACAGTACTCACATGTACTCAAACCGTTGCGCGCTGCGCACACCTGCCACGCGGCTGCGGTTGCGTGATGCGACGTGGTGTTTTGAAAGAGGGAACCGGAGGAAAGAGGGACAATTATGATGTTGGAAAGAAACGCCTGTGTGCCAATATTGGGTTGACACCACTTGTTGTCTGGGAGTAGTGCTATACAGAATTACGTGGTGACGTCGAAATGATGCGAACTGGTTGCGCAGGATCGCTGGCTGCCGACCCCAAACTTGCGTGCTGTCCGCTGTCCGCCAGGCTTTGGTACATTCGGACTTTGCAAGTTCCGGCTGCAGTTCCCATGTTAGTAGCAATAATGTCCCGCAGTGGCGCGTTCGAGCTGGCATCAATGAGCATTCGCTGGCATCATGGATCGGCAGAGGCCTGCCGGGATTTCTCCTCCACGAATGCTCGGAAAATATCTTCTGAGAACTCTGGGCTACAGCCTCAAGGGCTCTTCGAAGCCATCCGAAGCTTCCCAAAGAATAGGTAAGATCCTGGGATTCTGAAGTACATCTCTTTGCAACACATTCAAGACATGCCAGTGGTCCTCTTTGATCTAAACTCTTACCGGGGGGGGGGGGGGGGTCAAACATGGGAAGATAGACCCCTGAGTTCTGGGCCGTAAACACCCTATATATGATGGAAAGACAGAGTGGAGAAGAAGCAGAAGCGGAACCCCTGACCCCCTCATATGCGCTTGAAACAAGCTGTTGGTTCTTTCTTGCTTTCTGTATTTCTTTCTTGTTTTTTTGTTTTCTTGTTTTTTTGCATTTCCTTCTTCCTGTGTTTCTTTCTTTCTTTCCTTCATTCTCTCTTTTTTCATTTCTTCATTTCTTCCGTTCTTCCTTTCTTCCTTTCTTCCTTTCTGCCTTTCTGCCTTTCTGCCTTTCTGCCTTTCTTCCTTTCTTCCTTTCTTCCTTTCTTCCTTTCTTCCTTTCTTCCTTTCTTCCTTTCTTCCTTTCTTCCTTTCTTCCTTTCTTCCTTTCTTCCTTTCTTCCTTTCTTCCTTTTTTCCTCTCTTCCTTTCTTGCTTTCTTCCTTTCTTCCTTACTTCCTTTCTTCCTTTCTTCCTTTCTTCCTTTCTTCCTTTCTTCCTTTCTTCCTTTTTTCCTTTCTTCCTTTCTTCCTTTCTTCCTTTCTTCCTTTCTTCCTTTCTTCCTTTCTTCCTTTCTTCCTTTCTTCCTTTCTTCCTTTCTTTCTTTCTTCCTTTCTTCCTTTCTTCCTGTCTTCCTTTCTTCCTTGCTTCCTTTCTTCCTTGCTGCCCTTTCTTCCCTTCTTCCCTTCTTCCCTTCTTCCCTTCTTCCGTTCTTCCCTTCTGCCCTTCTTCCCTTCCCCCCCCCCCCCCCCTTCCCCCCCCTCCTTCTTCGCCCCTTCTTTCCCCCTTCTTCCCCCACTTCTTCCCCCCTTCTTCCCCCCTTCTTCCCCCGTTCTTCCCCCCTTCTCCCCCCCTTCTTCCCGCCTTCTTCCCCCCTTCTTCCCTCCTTCTTCCCCCCTTCTTCCCCCCTTCTTCGCCCCCTTCTTCGCCCCCTTCTTCGCCCCCTTCTTCGCCCCCCCTTCTTCTTCCCCCCTTCTTCTTCCCCCCTTCTTCTTCCCCCCTTCTTCTTCCCCCCTTCTTCTTCCCCCCTTCTCCTTCCCCCCTTCTCCTTCCCCCCTTCTCCTTCCCCGCTTCTTCTTCCCCTCTTCTTCTTCCCCTCTTCTTCTTCCCGTCTTCTTCTTCCCCTCTTCTTCTTCCCCTCTTCTTCTTCCCCTCTTCTTCTTCCCTCCTTCTTCTTCCCTTCTTCTTCCCTTCTTCTTCCCTTCTTCTTCCCTTCTTCTTCCCTTCTTCTTCTCTTCCTCTCTTCCTCCTCTCTTCCTCCTCTCTTCCTCCTCTCTTCCTCCTCTCTTCCTCCTCTCTTCCTCCTCTCTTCCTCCTCTCTTCCTCCTCTCTTCCTCCTCTCTTCCTCCTCTCTTCCTCCTCTCTTCCTCCTCTCTTCCTCCTCTCTTCCTCCTCTCTTCCTCCTCCCTTCCTCCTCTCTTCCTCCTCTCTTCCTCCTCTCTTCCTCCTCTCTTCCTCCTCTCTTCCTCCTTCCTCCTCCTCTTCTTCCTCCTCCTCTGCTCCTCTCTTCTCTCTCTTCCTCCTCTCTTCTCCTCTCTTCCTCCTCTCTTCCTCCTCTCTTCCTCCTCTCTTCCTCCTCTCTTCCTCCTCTCTTCCTCCTCTCTTCCTCCTCTCTTCCTCCTCTCTTCCTCCTCTCTTCCTCCTCTCTTCCTCCTCTCTTCTTCCTCTCTTCCTCCTCTCTTCCTCCTCTCTTCTTCCTCTCTTCCTCCTCTCTGCCTCTCTTCCTGTCTTCCTTTCTTCCTTTCTTCATTTCTTCCTTTCTTCCTTTCTTCCTTTCTTCCTTTCTTCCTTTCTTCCTTTCTTCCTTTCTTCCTTTCTTCCTTTCTTCCTTTCTTCCTTTCTTCCTTTCTTCCTTTCTTCCGTTCTTCCTTTCTTCCTTTCTTCCTTGCTTCCCTTGCTTCCCTTCCTCCCCTTCTTCCTTCTTCTGTTCGTCCTTTCTTTCCTTCCGTTCCTTCCTTTCTTGCTTTCTTCCTTTCTTTCCTTCCAT